TACTCCTTATCCTCTCCAACATTGTTATTACTTGTCCTGTGTGATAACAGCTATTCTAACAGGTGCGAGATGGTATCTCATCATGGCTTTGATTTGCATTTCCCTAAAAGCTAGCGATGTTGAGCATCTTTTCATATATTTGTTGGCCATTTGTATGTCCTCTAGGGAGAAGTGTCTGTTCAGGTCCTCTGCCCATTTTTGATTGGATTGTTTGTTTTCTGTTGTTATAGAGTCATATGAGTTCTTTGTAGATTTTGGAAATAAGGCCCTTATCGGAGGTGTTGCTTGCAAATATATTTTCCCATTCGGATGATTGTCTCTTTATCTTGCTGACGATTTCTTTTGCTGAGCAGAAGCTTTTTAGTTTGATATAGTCCCATTCATTTATTTTAGCTTTTACTTCCTTTGCACTTGAGGTCAAATTCATAAAATCTTCTTTAACTCCAAGGTCCATGAGTTTAGTTCTTCTGTTTTCTTTCACACATCTTATTGTCTCAGGTTTTATATTCAGGTCCTTAATCCATTTTGAGTTAATTTTGGTTTGTGGTGATAGATAACAGTCTAGTTTCATTCTTTTGCAAGAGGCTTTCCAGTTTTCTCAGCACTATTTATTGAAGATGCTTTCCTTTCTCCACTGTATATTTTTGGCTTTTTTTGTTGACAATTATTTGCCCATATACATATGGGTTTACTTTTGGACTCTCAATTCAGTTCTACTGGTCCGTGTGTCCGTTTTTCTGCCAATACCATGCCATTTTGATGACTGTTGCTTTATAGTATAATTTAAAGTCAGACAGAGTGATGCCTCCAATTTTGTTTTTGATGGGGATTGCATTAAATCTGTATAATGCTTTAGGTAATATGATCATTTTAACTATGTTGATTCTTCCAATCCAAGAACATGGAATATTTTTCCATTTCTTTGTATCTTCTTCAATTTCTTTTAATAGGGTCTTGTAATTTTCATTATATAGGTCCTTCACATGTTTCGTTAAATTTATTCCTAGGTATTTTATTTTATTTTTGATGCAGTTGTAAATGGGATCGTTAATTTCTCTGTTAGTTTGTTATTAGTGTATTGTCTTCGACTCTTAACCATTTGATTATAAGTTATCTTGGTTTTATAAAGTCTCTTTGAATTTATCTTATATGTAGTTTTTTGAGCTTGAATTTGAATGTGTTTTCTTTCCTCAGATTTTGGAAGTCTTTAGCCAATAATCTTTCTGCCCCTTTCTCTTTCTATTCTCCTTCTGAGACTCTTTTAATACACAGTGTGAGTGTCCTGTCAGTCCCTTAAGCTGTGTTCATTTTTATTCATTCTTTCTTTTAGCTTCTCTGCTGAGATGATTTCAAATGACCTGAGTCTTTATTTTGCCTGAGCAAGTCAAGTGAAATTTTCAACTTTGTTATGGTATTTTTCAGTTCCAAAATTTGTTTCATTTTTATAGTTTCTCTTTGTTGATATTCTCATTTGTTCATGTATCATTTTCCTGGTTTAGTTTAATTTTAGCTCATTGAATAACTTTGACAGTTATTATGAATTCTTCGTCAGGCATCTCATAGATCTGCATTTCTTTAGGGTCAGGTTTTGTAGTTTTAATTTGTTCCTTTGATTGGGCCTTGTTTCCCTGTTTCTTTATATGCTTTTGAGATTTGAATATTTGAAAAACAATGAAGTCTTTATGTACTGGCTTTGTGCAGGGGATGAACTTCAATAATCAGCCTAGCTAGAGGTTCTAAGACCTCTCAAATCTTTTATGATCTTTTTATCCTCCTGGTATCTGAATGCATAACTGCAGCTCTGATGTACAACTGTTTTTAGTGGTGTTCCCCTCTGTTTTTAGTGGTCGCATTAGTGTTCTGAGTCAGGTGAGACAGAAACCAATGGGCAGCCCCCAGATGAGCCAGGACATTGGACACACCGTCCACTCTTTTGCTTCCACACTGAGGGAAGAGCCCTAGTGTGGGAGGGTTCCTCCTGGTTGCACTGCTCTATACCAGTCGGTACAAGGGCACAGGTGGGCATGCAGAATGCCATGAATTTTCTTACCCCTTTTGCTGGAATCTTTTTTTTATTTTCAATTACAGTTGACACTCAGTGTTATATGTTTCAGATGTACAACACAGTGATTAGTTATTTATATGATTTACAAAGTGATCCCCCTGATTCGTCTAGTACCTGTCTGGCATCATACGTAGTTATTACAATATTATCGACTATATTCCCTACGCTGTACTTTACATCTTCATGACTATTTTGTACCTACCAATTTGTACTTTTTAATCCCTTCAACTTTTTCACCCAGGTCCCCAACCCCGCTCCTATCCGGCAACCATCAGTTTGTTCTCTGTATCTATGAGTTTGTTTTGTTTGTTCATTTATCTTGTTTTTTTAGATTCCACATATAAGTGAGATAATATGGTATTTGTCTTTCCCTGTCTGACTTATTTTAGTTAGCATCATACCCTCTCTGTTCATCCATGTTGTTGTAAATGGTAAGATTTCATTCTTTCTTTATAGCTGAGTAACATTCTGTAGTATATATGTGTACTACATCTTCTTTACCCACTGTTGTATCGATGGACACTTAGGTTGCTTCCGTATTTTGGCTATTATATGTGAAATGTTCTTCTTTGTCTCTTGTTATAGCCTTTGTTTTAAAGTCTGTTTTCTCTAATGTAAGCATTGCTACCCCAGCTTTTTTCTCACTTTCATTTGTATGAAATATCTTTTTCCATTCTTTTACTTTCAGTCTTTCGATCTAAAGTAGGTCTCTTGTAGGCAGCATATGTATGGGTCTGGTTTTATCTATTCAGCCACCCTATGTGTTTTGATTAGAGCATTTAATCCATTTACATTTATTAGTATTATTATTTACTTTTATTAGCATTCGATGCTTAATTTACTCGTAACGGGGTCATAAGTTTTTTTCTTCAGTTTCTCCTGGGACATCTTTTTCTTCTGTGCAAGCTCCTCTTCTGGCTCAGGAAGACTCTGCTCCGTTTCAGTGAGGACCGTCTCAGTGTGGCGGTGGGCACTCATGTAGGGTTCTTCTGCCCACGAGCTCTGTACGTTCTGCACTGCGTCCTGGAAGCCTTGTTTCCCTGTGTGTGCTTGATGACCATAGAGTCTGCATCTAAACCCTGAAGTTCAGCATCACTCTCTGCATTTTTAAGCATGTGCAGCAAAAATTCAGCACTCTTTTTGGGCCACTGAGCCTGCGTCCAGCCCCACTGTTGGGCCTGGGCACACCTACCAACTCCGCCATGGTAACAATGGAATGGTACACACTGCTTCTGTAAAGTGACACCCCTCCGATGCTTGGTGGCTTTTCAGATATGCATACCCTCGATGGCCCAGGCAGTTTCATGAGTGTTCTTAAAGTGAAAACTAAGATTTGAACGTTTTGATTTGCATGATTTTGTGGGGTCTTCTGGGTCAAGTAAATAGGGAACCATTTTCAGAGGTCACCTCAGGCCGCTTATGGGAAGAACTAAAGTAATTATTGACAGGTTTATAATTATTGCTGTTTTATTGTTCATATATCTGATCTTTCTTGTTCTTGTTCTTCCTCTTCCTTAAGTCCCTTTAACATTTCTTATAATACTGGTTTGGTGGTGATGAAGTCCTTTAGTTTTTCTTGTCTGGGACCTGGAGTCTTGTCTTGGTTTTATGCTGGCCTGAGCGCTATACCTTCTCAGCTGGTCACTTGAGTTCTCACACAGGTATTCTGGACTGTATGTTGTTGTTAACTCAGTGTCTCTGTAGGGGCAGGAGTGCCCAGAGCTTCCTTATCTGCCATTTTGCTGATATTACTATTTCTTTTTTACTCTTATTAAGTAACTTCTGTGCTAACTTCTCTCTGACTTCTAGTTTCATAGCTTATTTTTTCCTTGTTTCGAACTTTAAATAAATGGAATTGTACAGTTTGAGCATTACAAAAATTGAAGTATTAAAAAGTACATAGGAACATGTAGACTCGTGCACATATCATAAATGTTGAACTTGATGCATTCTAAAGCCAAACACATCCACATAACCAGCAATCTGAATCATGGCTAAAAATTACCAGTACCACAGGTCTCATTTATGTCCCTTGCAGTCACTGCCAGCCTCTCCCCTTCTCATCACTACCAAAAATAGTTGTTAAATTACTTTTAGCAACATAGGTTAGTTTGGGCTGTTCTCTACTTTTTTGGAATCAAACTGTTTAACTGTTTGGTGTCTGCCTGTCATTTAACATGTTTGTGAGATTCGTTCATGTAGCATATAGCAGTTTCATTGCTGTATACATCTCAATTCATGAGTAGCCAACAATTCTTTTCCCATTCTGACTTCAGTAGACATTCGAGTTGTCTGTAGTTTTTGGTTATTTTGAATAGGGTTGCTATGAGCATTCTTGTACTTGTCTTTTGGTGCATATACACATTCGTTTATCTTGGAAATTACTGAATCAGGCCAGTGCTTTACAAATCTTCTTCTTATTTGAAGGCTACTTAATTGTGCCACAGTATGCCCAAGGCTTCTTTAGTGATGAATGTTGGACTTGGGGCGGGGGTGGGGGGG